AAAGTTGTCAACTATGGCATTAGCCACTTATGCTGGAAATGAAGACATATGAGTTGAGCTTCGGGATGTAAAATTGTTAAATAGGGCCTCCGGGTATTTTGGGACATAAAATTGTTACACAATTGCCTCCAGGTATTTAAGGTGTGCTCTATCAGAAGATAGAGCACACCTTAAATACCTGGAGGCAGTCGAAATCTATTGAGCACTTAAGGATGGAGTGGGTATTAATTTCAAAAACAGACACTCTGTCTGCAGCAGTGCTTTTCAACCTGTGGGTCACGACCCCCAGGGGGGTTGCAAAACCATACATGGGGGTCGCAGGTAAAAGAAAAAGACAAGTGTTTGTAGGTCCTACACTACAATAAAAAAACTACAATTTTAGTGAGAAGACTGTGCCTGTTTATTTTACAGTACAATTAGTTTTTTGATCGATATTTGAATCTCAACAGAAAGAAAATTAAATACGTAGTTTTTAAAATCACTGACATAGTTTTAATATGGCTGTGGGGGGGTTGCCAGAATTTTTTAACTTGTAAAGGGGTCGCGTATTCAAGAAGCTTGGAAAACACTGGTCTACAGCATGGCATGCCATTTTTGAACTCTCATAAACCATTCTCAGATACACCTTACTAAACTGTGCAGATACGAGTTCACATTAATGATAATTTAAATTAAATATGCTATTTGTGTATTTGTGTCAAAATAATTATTTTGAAATTAATTTGTCATCATAAATTATTCTTTAATAGTTTTGAATAATATACGCACATATTTTGTTCAGGATATAATTTTAAATTATAAGTGTTTCATTTATGATGTTAATTTGAACATGTAAAACATATTCTGTTTTTATATGTAGCTGTTTTTGTTCTGTGATATATACCTGATGATGTCTATTTTAAATAGACAAAAATGTTAGTAAATATTTTCTTTATTTGTTAATTACATAGTTTCTGGTATTTGGTTTGGTATTGTTTATATGATCCCAGTTTTGGAGAGTTACTAAATTGTGGTTAAAAATGGTTAATGACTTCAAAATATAATTTTGTAATATTTACAGTGAAAATTGATTTATTTTGTAAGAATTGGTAATAAGTAGTGAAGATGTGTACAGTAAGACCTTGTTTAGTGCTTAGGATGCATTCCTAGACAACAAAGCGCTAAATGAAGCATATTTAAACAAGGTCATTTTAACACACAGTAAATAGAAAAGGGGAACATGTGACATAATCAATTTAAGTTATTTGTATATTAATTTGCATAATAATACAGTAAGACCCTGCTTAATGTGGAGTGCATGTGAATGCATTCCCTGTGAATGCATTCCTAGATGACAAAGCACTAAACAAAACAGCATTAAACGAGGCCATTTTATTAAATAGGGATAGGGGAACACGAGACCAAAAATAAACAAATTTTACTTTAAGTTATTTTTATATTAATTTGCATAATACGAGGGGTGTTCAAAAAGTATCGGACCTTTGGTTGGCAAAAATACATTTATTGATTTTGAAGTACAAAACCCTAATCCCCTTCAAAGTAGTCTCCTTGGTAATGTATATACTTCTCCCGGCGCTCCTGTCATTGCTGGAAACACTGCTGGAACGCATCTTTTGGAATGGCCATCAGCCGGTCCATCACATTCTGCATAATGTCTTCTCTTGACTAAAATCAGGTTCCTTTTAGCGGCATTTTCAGCTTGGGAAATAGCCAAAAGTCACACGGAGCCATCTTGGGAGAGTACGAAGCGTGACGAACCACAGGAATGTTGTGTTTGGCAACGAAAGTCCGAATCAGATGTGCAGAATGGGCGACTGCATTATCATGATGGAGCTGCCAAGTTTTGTTTGACCACAGATCCGTTTGTTTGTGTCGCACAGCATCACAAAGATGACGAAGGACCTCCTGGTAGTACTCCTTTGCGATGGTTTGGCCTTGTGGTGCTTACTCACAATACACCACCCCATGGGAGTTGAAAAAAACTGTCAACCTGACCTTGACATTTCTGCGGACCTGCTGCGCTTTTTTTTGGTCTCGAGGATCGTCCCCGAAAGCCTGCTGAATCTTGCAAATGGTTTCCGCTTGGGTATTGCCAAGCTTTTGGCAAAATTTGATGCAATATCGCTGCTCACGTTGTTCAGTCATTTTCCAACTTATTGGAATCCGACGAACGCTCACTACATGTCTTCACTCATAGGCCGACTGCCAGCGACTGACGCTTCCTGTAGGCAGGAAAAAATTCAGGACTGTGCATGACTGTCCCCTCCACAACTCCACTGAAAGAGACCTCTCGTGCATCATTGGTTTACGCGGGAAAAATAAAAGTCCAATACTTTTTGAACACCCCTCGTATATGTTAAATAACACACAAACATATGCATACAGAAATGCAAAGTTTATTTTTTGGAGGAAGGTTTGGCTTTCTGAAATTCTTGTTTTTTGCAATAAAGTCGTGAAGTTTCATTTGTCGCTTTTTTCTTTCCTTAATTAAATGTTGGTAGCAGAAGATTGCATCCAAAATGCCTCTTTTGCTTTTGCACTCCTTTCAAAATCTAGATCATTCGCTACAATTTGATCAATGATTTTGGTTATTGTTACCAAATTTTTACTAAGGAAATCTGTAACAAGTTCTTTGGGTTCTTCATTTTCAGAAACTGTTTTCCAGTTCTACATGAATTCCTTGTTCTGCCAGTTCTTGAAGGTCACTGTTGGTAAGGTTCTCACCAGAAACCTGCTGTAACTCCTCAATATCCTGCTCGTCTACATCTCCTAGTCCTGCTATATCGATTAGGTTAAGTTTGGTCAACCTAACCATACAGCGATAGGCTCTTCTTGTTGAGAATTCTTGGATACCTTCAGCCATAACTTCTTCTACACTTCGTTTGTGCATTTATCAGTTAATTCTTGCCAAGCAAAGCCGATATTGCCTATGGCATTCATGATGTTATATTTTTTTTTCTAAAATTGCACCAAACAAACATAGATTTAAAAAGGTACATCTTTTTGCCACCTTTTTCTGATTGGTTCATGTTCATAAATAATCGTATTATATATGAATCAATGAAATGCTGCAATAATTTAAATTGGCGTAAATTTTGAGCTTTTTTCAGGCTTCTAGCAGACTGCGTTATATCGAATCAGCATTAAGCGGGGTCTTACTGTATATGTTACATAACACACAAACATATGCACACAGAAATATAAAGTTCATTTTTGTGGTGAAGTTCCTGGCTCTTCTGAAATTCTTGATTTTTTTTTTTTGTGATGAAATCATCTAGTGTCATTTGTCATTTGTTTCTTTCATTAAGCAAATGTTGGTAGCAGGAGATTGCATCCAAATTGTCTTGCTTTTGCACTCCTTTCAAAATCTGGATCATTCACTACAATTTGATCAATCATTTCAGTTATTGTTACCAAACTTTCACTAAAGAAATCTGTAGCAAGTTCTTTGGGTTCTCTGTTTTCAGAATCACTATTTTCCAGTTCTACATGAATTCCTTGTTCTGCCAGTTTTTGAAGGTTATCATTGGTAAGACTCTCACCAGAAACATGCAGTAACTCCTCAGTATCCTGCTCATCTACATCTCCTAGTCCTGCTATATCGATTAGGTTGACAATTTAGTCAACAATAGGTTCTCGTTGAGAATCCTTGGATACTTTCAGCCATACCTTCTTCCACAAAAGTCAGTATTAACTATAAACAAAGTCAATATTAGCTATGGCATCTATGTTATACAGTAGAACCTCAATTATCCGGATTGTTCAAAATAAACAAAAATTTTACGATTTTGCTTATTTGCACTTGGCGAATTACGATACTGTTTATGTACGTGATGGAATGCATAACTTTTTTTGTTTCAACGTCTCACCTGGCACAGTGGCCGTAAACTCTTAAATATATTTTGCATCGTAATAAAAATATAACTTGACATACATATTTATAAATAATTTTATTTTCAAATTACATCATTTCTATGACCAAGGGTGGCGTAAGGCATGGGCAACTTGGTCCACCGCATATGCCTCGCGTTTTGAAGGTTTATGCATTACTTAAAAGCCACGAACGTGACAAAAAAATTTTACTGGTCATAAAACGATAAATAGTTTGTCAAATTTTTATTCATAAAAATGCAGTTTCAACTGCTTTTTATTTTATAAAATCCGTCTTCTTGCACCACCAGAAGGCCTTTTAAACAATAGGTAGTCTGTTAGCGCTGGTCAGTACTAGTATAAATTCAATACGAACGTTTGCTTCTTGAAAATTTGATCACGATTTAAATACAGTATTTATTTTTAATATTACCGATATGTCATCGAAAAGAAAATGTGTTGTATTATCATTAAAAGACAAATTAAAGTATTTGTTTTGATTATCCAAATTTTTCCTTATCTGGACTACCTTCATCCCCAATTAGTCCGGATAATCGAGGTTCTACTGTATTTTTTCCAAAATTGCATCAAACAAACATAGATTTAGGGGAAATACAGTATTATGATGAATTGCCACCTTTTGCTGATTGGTTCATGTTCAGGAATAATCATATATGAATCAATGAAATGCCGTGATAATTTGAATCACTGTGAATTATCGGTTTTTTTTAAGGCTTCAAGCAGACTGTGTTATATCAAATCAATGTTAATTGAGGAAGCACTAACTAAACAAGGTCTTACTTTACTATAGGCTATGAAAAAACTTTAAATTAAATGTGATATTGCTGAAGTATAATTTTTATTGTTTATTTATTTATACCCAGTATTTACTGATTATTGATTAAAATATATTTTATTACGTAGGACAAATAGTTTATAATATTAATGTTATATCAAGAATTGAACTATAACATATTCTTAAAGTTATAGGCATTATTTTATTATTATATTATTATTAATTAATGATGATCTGATTGTTCAATTATGAAACATCCTCATAGTGATCATATATCAGATCAATCACTGTAAATTGCTGAAATATTTGGTTTTGTCATCTATTTCCTTGTTAGCAGAGAAACAGCAAGGCAATCCAAAAGGGAAAAACTGTAATCAGAATGGTGATCAGCAGCAATCATCTAAACCAGAACCAACTTGGGTTCATGATATATTTCAAGGTACTCTTACAAATGAAACGAGATGTCTCAACTGTGAAACAGTAAGTTATTTTTCTTCATACTATTCACATTTTTGTACATACTGTATACTGTATATTGCATGAATTTTTATAAATTATTAATAAATTATTAAAATTTGGGATAGAAAGTATACTTTAATGGCAAATATTTTCTCTGTTGAGTTTTTACATTTTAAATAAGTATTTGTAGTCAGAAATTAAATTTGTAGAAGCTTATTTTTGAAAACTTAATTTGTGATTATGTATGTATCTTGTTTATATTTTTTATTCCTAGATCTACTGGCACCCAATTAAATTTCATTTCTGAGGATGAATTTTCTGATGATTAAAATACTTAAATTGACTGCATTAACAACTCTATTATTGACAACTATTATTAACTTCAGTTTGGATTTTAAAATTCATTAAAATTGATATGACATTTTCAATGACTCAGAAAAAGAATATGCAAGGTTTTTTAGTTGCACTTTTCTTTAGAGCTACTCTCTCTCAGTTCCTATGAACAAAAAACATTTCAGTGTTAGTTGGAATATAACAATAATAATAATTTTTCTTACAAATAAACAATATAATTTGAAAAATACAAAAATAAATACAATCAAACCTGTCTAAACTAGAATCAGTTGGGTCCAAAATATCATTTCATCTTGAACAGCATCTACAATGAACTTTGTCTACGAGAGAAAAACTGTATACAACGGAATCAGTTTTCATTTCAAGTTAAAAGTAAACATAAAACATATGTGTTGAACTTATGTTCCTGATTTTAATGCACAATATGTAACAGATATGTAGAGTTAATACATATTTAAGTAATTATTGAGTAATTATTTACTAAAAATAATCATTAATTGTTGTTTGTCATTTTTTAACTCTGGCACTTTCTTTTCTGTTAGTATTCATAGTTTGAAAAGACATTGTAACATAGGAATGTATTCTATTTGTTGTGCATACTTATTCTAATGAGGTAATTTTTTTCAAAGCCTTAGCAAAGTGACTTATTTTTTTCATTTTCTTCAACATCCATCACTGAATGTATGTGAAATATAAAAATTTTTAGTTTAAAGTAAGTTTAATGGCCCACCAGTGGTTGACTGGATAAAACCACTGAACACTAGTTAGTCATGGGTTCGTGTCTTGCCAACAGGTTGACTATGTGGAGTTTTCTGGGTTTTCTTCATGTTTATGACATCTAAAATAGGAGACAGTTTCCCTTAGAAAGTTCTCTCAGAAGGCATCCCCCTTGGCAGATTTTATATTGCAAACAGCATCATATGAATTTTATACAATTAGACTCAAACATGTGCTTAGATTTCATTCCTACATATATATAGGTGATGATTCTTGAAGGTTATACAAGATAAGGAGTGAATTGTTAGGAACATTTTGAATAAAAAAATCATATGAATATGGGTCTTATAGTTTGATATTTTTCTAAATTGTTATTCATCACTGTGAGCTTGGCTTGTAACTTGATTATTTTGTATTTAGAGATAGATGAAAACTTGTTTACACAATGAATGGGCAAACATCAGTAATTATTAGCCTATATTATGAGTGTTGTTGTACACATCAGGAATAACCATGCTGAGATCAGAAACACAGTATATGTGACTCGCATGATGAAAAGTGTATTGAAATGCAAGAAGTTTTGAAAATCTCTTTCAAACATTGTGAAACACATGATTTTATCAATAAATAGCTTTAAAACATTTGATTTTGTATTTTACATTGATTTCTTTTCATCCTGTTCAAAACTATTTCTTTCATTTTATGATTAAAGTAGCTGTAGCCACTTAAGTATTAATAATAAGATCATTGTTTATATGACAGTTTCACAAGATTTTGCTCCTATGGAATAAAGTTTCATGAATTGTGATGTAATTTTTTTTCTTTGAGGGTTTCATGTCACTGTTGATTTAGTGCTGATTTCAGAGATGAACAAGTGATGATACAAACAGAAATCTGAATATATGTCACCTGGTCTTATTAGTTAATTCTGTGTTCCTAAGTTGGAATTTTTTTTATACAGGATTGCATGTACAAGGCAGTGATTTTTCTACTGATTTTTCATATATGTTACCGGCCAAACCCGATTTCACGCCAAACTAGTTTGTCCTAGGCATGTCAGGATATACTAGTTTAGCCTAGGACAATCTAGTTTGGCCTAAATACTTTAGACTTAACTAGTTTGACCTAGGCCAAACTGATTTATGTACTACAAATAGGTGCCAGTGTAAAAAAAGTGATTTTGTGTAATTTGAAATGCCACCACAGTACACCCGGTGGTTAAAGTGTACCTAGGTAACCCCAATGGCGGTGCTTTGGTTAGGCTGGTTTGATTAGGTTAATTAACTACATTTTTAGTAGACGCTTCCTTTTTTTTTTCTTTTGTTCAATAACTAGTGACATTAAACAATGGGCAGCCTGCCAGCGGCTCCCCTCTGGGAGCACGAACAGTCTGAAGTACTGCCATTGAGGCTACCTAGGTACACTTAACCCACCCTGTAAAAATAAATAAAAGATTAAATATTTTATATGTTACACTAAGAAACACAAACAAGTTCATTTTTAATTTTAGTTTGACTTTAAAGTTATTTTTATTATTTCGTTTGAATTTTTGAAAATATTTTTGATTGTTAATTACCTTTAAAAGTGCATGGCTTAATAAAAAAAATGAAAACTGATAAGTACTGATTAGCTTATTTTTATTTTATAGTTTTGTACAAGTGTTGTGTCACTTCTAATCAATACCGTTTTTTATAATTAAGTAGACTATGTTTGAATAAATATTGTTCATCTAATTGATTGCCTTTTAATTTTATTTTAACCATTAATATACTTAAATCAGGCCTGGCCAACCTGCGGACTGTCACATTAAATTGTGTGGCCTGCTAAGCGATATTATATATCTATTAAAACTTTCGTTTTCCGTTTTGTGTATACCAAAACAATTAAATAAATGAAAATTTGCATGTGTCATTGTTATAATGCGCAAGTGTGAGTACGAACTCTTGGTATAACAATGAAAGCTTATTCATTTTGTATTTGTTTTACTTTTTTAAAAGCATGTTTGCCTAAATTGTGGCCCATTGTAATGTTACACGTGATCAAAGTGGTTCGCGAAACAATTTGGGTTGGCCAGGCCTGACTTCAATAATAATTCTAAATCAGTTCGGCCTAGGACAAACTAGTTAAGCCTAAAGTATTTAGGCCAAACTAGATTGTCCTAGGCTAAACTAGTATATCCTGACATGTGTAGGATAAACTAGTTTGGCCTGAAATCAGGTTTGGCCGATAACATATATAATTAAACTGTATGTAATTTTAGTTTCTTGAATTTGATGATTTTGAAAGGTTCTGTAATGTGTCTTCTCTGCACATGTAAAATTTCAACATTGTACATTGTTGACATATGAGATATTGTTTTGTTTACAGAACAATATCCTTGACCAGGCTCACACTGGAAACTCTTCAAACTGTATGATAGCATGAGCTAATATGAAATGAGTTCAGCTGGAAATAAATGCTGGGATGGCTAAAGTGTTTCCCAGAACCAGAAAATGATTTTTCAGGTATAGAATAAACCCGTAAAAATGTTTAAATTGTTGAAGGTCATAGCATTCCAGACTATCTTATGGAGAAAGCATTCAAGGCCATAATGATGTGCAGACCATGAATATCATTACATATGCATAGCTGATAAACATCCATGATAATTGTTTTTGTCAAGTAACTGAAAATTATATCAGAGTAGAAAATTGCTGCCTTATGCATGTGATCATGCAACAACAAAGAAAAATTTATACAATTGCATGCTTGAAGTGGAAATTTTTTGCAGTGGTTTTTGAGGGCCTATATGTAATAAACAGAAAACGTTTTTTGATTGAAATTTTACACAGTTAGATGGATAGCATGTAGCATGAAGATATCATGTAAGCACTGCTAAGTAAGTCAATTTGATGGAAAATGTCCAAGATAAAATTAATAGTAGTAGAAAATCACTTCTATCTCATGTGATTACAGGTTAATTTATTGAATTTCCTGTAAGAACTAGTTATTCGAAAATAATGCTTGTCTTGTCAAAAATCTTTATTTTATAAGTTGCTGTTCAATAGTCATATGTACATTTTAGGATCATTCATCCCCTCTTTAGTATGGAATTTAATGTTGTTCCTATCACATTTGACAAGACATCTTTGAAATAAAACAATTTTAAAAACTTTTTTGATTATTCTTTTTCAAAACTAATAGGGACAGTGTAAAATTCCATATTGAAGAGGAAATGAGTAGTCCCAAATCTACCTATGACTATTCAACAGCAATTTATGAAATAAATGTATTTGATGAAGCAGGAATTGTTTTGGAATAATTAATTCTTATATGAAACAGTAAATATTGTAAAAATGAGCTTTGTCACTTCTTCAATTTGTTGGAATTTTTTTTTGACTGTAAAAACAAGTTCATAGTGACAAAATAGTTTCTTAATTGATGAAATAACACCTCTCAAAAGAGTTTTTCTCTCTCATCTTGGCATTGGTAGGTGATCCTCTAGGCTGTCTTTATTACAGGCAACCTTCAAGTGAGGAAGACACTTCAGCACAGATTGTAGTCCCCCAACCACAGCAAGTGGGACACATGGGATATTTTTAAATTACTTTGATTGCATTTCTTAAAACAATTTTGCTATCTTTAAATGGGATAATTTAATTATTTAAATAGAAAAAATTGTTCTAAAACTCTGTTTTGATTATTTATTTATTTGAGATGAAAAAGTTCTGTATAATTTTAAAATTATTTCTAAAAATAGAAATAATTTTAAAATTATACAGAACTTTTTTCTCAGTATAAAAATTAATTTAAATTTTAATATAAAATAAAAGTTTTTATGAATTTTAAAATATAATATTTCATTATCAAATATTATAATGTTAAGTATGTATTGATTGATATAATATAATTACTGGATCATACCAAATATTTATTTTACTTTCATATTAGGTCAGCAGTAAAGATGAAGATTTCTTAGATCTTTCAGTTGATGTGGATCAAAATACATCAATCACTCACTGTCTAAGGGGTTTTAGTAATACAGAAACTTTATGTAGTGAACATAAATATTATTGTGAAAATTGCTGCAGTAAACAAGAAGCACAGAAAAGGTATGTTAATTTATTTTTCAAATCTTCTAAAGAGGAATTTTTGTTTGTATGAAAATAATAATTTAGAGGTTTAGAACCATACGTTGCCAACTCACTGTTTGGTTCATTTATTTTTAATTTGAACTGTTTACATTAGAATTCTAATTTTTATGAAAACCATAAAAAGTTAATTTATTAAATAAATCATGTTCTGTAATGCTTCTGTGAATTTGGGTTTCAAGTCTATGCTTATAATGTTTGCCAACAAATTAGTTCTAGTTTTGATGGTAAACTTAATGGTTGATAGTATCCATACTGGATTTATGATTTGAGATAAAAAACAAAGAATATACTCTGTATCACTGAAGGAAAAATGTCTATTAGCAATGAATCAGTAACAAATTTTGCCAATGATTTTGCCCTTTTGTCAATGGTGAGTTTCTATTGCAACATTGCCTAAATTGGCAATGTTGCAACAGAAACTCGCCATTGACAAAAGAAATTATGTGGTGATACATTTGCCTCACTGTTGCATTTGACTATAATGTTATTTCAAAGAAGGGAAGAGATTCTTTGAAAATTAGAGTATGATCATTTAGTACTGATATAGATTTCAGAAATGATTTAAAAATTGACCCGACATGAATGAGGTGAGAAATTGTTATACCAGCTATGAGGTGGGTAGGAGATACCCGAAACTTTGATGCCAAATTTTTTATACTATAACTGTATATAAAGATTTTTTTACTTGGGATAATAAGAATAGTATCTATTCAACAAGATGAGTAAATAAAATATTATGTTTAAGATTGAAAAGCATTTTTTTTTTAATTGAAATAACAAAGTGTGTATATTTTCTTTGAAAAAATACAAGTTTTGGTAGTTTAACATTCTTTCGTATAAAATTCTAACAAAATTACAACTTCTTTGGTTAATCAACATAACTATAGTATCTTTCAATTATAAAAATAGAAAAAAAAACTAAAAGGTCTCATGAGATCAATTTGCACAGCACCAACATTACACCTACAAATCAGCACAATCTCCACACATAAAAATCGCATGCTTCATACATTTTGGCTTCTCACACTTCAAACAGCAATGTTTTGATTTCCTATCTGTTTTTTAGTACACTCACCACACCTGACATATTTATTAGCTATTTTTTTTGAAACAGGTAATGAAGGTTCTCCCAGTTGATCAGTAATCACTTTTCAAGTTTCTCTTGGAAGATGTGTTTTTTTGTCTAATGCGAAGACTATCATTTGAGAAATCTAGAAATAAATCTAAAAATACTATAAATAACTATAACTCATAAACTTACTGTCAACTCAAAAATGTAACACCGACTATGAGGTCGGGTGTGACGTACCCCAGCCACCTTTGCTCATGTGTATCTCCCGCTGACACTGGCGGAACACTAAACTCAACACTTCACCTCGCCCCCACTCCCTTACCTCCAGCTACTGTGACAACGGGATTTGCATGGCAACAATAACATTAAATAATCTGTGTTTAAAATCTTCTCGAGTATGACATACCCAACCTCACTCGTGCTGGGTTAAGAAAAATTTGTACACAAAAATTGCACATGGACAATGGATGGTATAGCTGAGTTGTTCAGTATTTCTCATGGAAGCTGCCATGTAATCCTGAAATGGTCTGAACATATGTATATTGTAGTATTCCATTTGATGGGTTCTTACTTGAATATCATTTTTGAGAGCAATGATGCCACTATCAAATCTTCTACACACACACACACAACTCTTTTATTTACGTAATGCCGAAGTATTACATGTCTGGCACCGCTTTGCATAGCCAGTTAACATATAAAAACATTAAATAATTGAAATTACAATTACATATATTATTATATGTAATTGTAATTTCAATTATTTAATGCTTTTAAAGTTCAAATCTACAGTCGACCACCCTATAACACTGTTGATAATTCCGTTTTATATGAATCCCATGTTGTACAAGTCACTTAGATTTTACAAATACGTGTGCCGGACTGTGAATGGCCACATATTTGTAAAATCTAAGTGACTCATACAACATGGAATTCATATAAAACAGAATTATCAACAGTGTTATGGGGGGTCGACTGTATATTGGAGTATCAAGCTAGCATAAAAATTTAATCCATTATTCTAATATGGACACTTCACTTATACATGATACATATTTTTCTCCTTTAAACTTCAAATCAGGGGTGTCCAACCCGCAGTCTGCGGGCTGCATGTGGCCCAGTAAACGTGTAAACAAAACCAATAAATGTTTTAATTTTTTTATTATTTATTCATTTCAGCAGCATAAACTCAAAAAAGAAGTTTTACAAAGCCATAAACTTTTATTCATATTTTATTGGAAAAGAAATATTTTCAAATACTTGGAGATGTGTGAATGAGGAAGGATTACTAAATAAACTAAAGTTGTGACTCAAAGGATTATAGACCCAAATTTGGGGAAAGGAGAGAAAGGACAAAAGATAAAAAGTAGTGAGAAAGGTTAAATAGATTTTCTGTTATGTAAATATTGACCCTTAATTTTCCAACTTTTCTCTCCTTTTCTTGCATATAATTCTTTGAATCACAACTCCAGCTTTATTTAGTATTCCTTCCAACATTGCAAGATTTGGCTACATTGCACCAAATGTGGCTACTTTTTTTTAGTTTGACGTAAGAAATATCATTTGGCGCTTCGGCTACTTTTGGGCTACATCTATATAAATAAAAATGTAAATGTTCATTTGTTCAAAATCTTAAAACTCTGAAAGTTCTTAACCGATCAATTTGAAATTTTGACACAACATTGCATTCAGATACGCACGTGTTTTTATATTATATAGATGTTGAAATTTTCCATGGGGGAAAGGGACAAAATTAAGGCTTGAGGCTTACCATGAAGAATTAGTCTTCTGTCATTCTATTTTAGATGCGATTTTTTGTGTTTTTGATTGCATTTTAATATGCTACGTCAAGCGAATGTACACTAAGAAGGAATTTTTCAAAATTTCCCCCACAGGGAGTGTTATACATTTATAATAGACACATTTTGAGCCACAGCAACACATGGCCTGGTACAGCTAGCATTATTTATAAATATATTAGTTGAATAAAAATGCACTTTAAAATGGAGTTTGTCACTTTTTATTAATTAGAGACCCAAATAAAACAAATATTTGTGTTTTTCAAATAAATTTCCATTTGTCTCTTTTATAATAAATGAATTTATCTATTTCTAAATAAAAATTGAAAGTGTCTGTAGAAGTAATTTTTTAAAATATCCTTTTTTGTGATAGTTTTAATAATTATTATTATAATCTAGACATGTTAATGCTTAAATATACAAGTAGTCCTATATTTAAGGATTAACATGTTAGATTAATATTTTGGATTATCATGTCTGGATTAATATTTGGGCCACAAGTATGTAAAATATATACTTGTGGCCCAAAACTCCTTGACTTCTTCCAATGTGGCCCAGAGAAACAAAAAAGTTGGACACCCCTGCTTCAAATCATACAGTACAAACTCTCAAGTAACTGGATATTTGTCATTGAAGATATAATGTTTGGTAATAAATCAACTCTAAGCATACATATAATTTCCTCACCCACAGAGTTATTTTTTCAGAAACTTACTGATTATGCCAAGTAAAATGAATTAAAAGAAACTAAAATTAACTAGTAGAAATTTATATGTAAAATTAAAAAGCAAGAGCATTATAGATTTGCCTGATAGAGTACAGGTAGTCATTGATTTATGACCATAATTGGTTTCAAGGAACTGGTTGTTAACTGATTTTGTCATAAGTTAGTCTTTACATTTTATGCCATTCTAGTATCATATCTCTAAATATTTTCTTATTTTTACACTCATTAATCTTATGTGAAAACTTTTAACATGTGTCTTATGGGAGAAATGACTACTGCAGAATTTGAATGAGTAGGGTAGGAAAACATCTCTTGCAAAAACATCTTAACTCATATGGGATAACAACAAAACCTAGCTAACATTTTTGTTTTTACCACCAACTGGATGTTGATGTAGTTTTTAAGTATGACAGGAAGTAGTTGTAATTTTAAAACCAAAGAATATTCAAAGAAAGTATAGTCATGGAATTTATTAAACACACTTGAAAGTGATAAAAGTGAAGATTTCTGGAGGATAGGTTACGGGCTGAACAGAGGAGAGAAAGACAAACTGTTTGCCCAAAAGGTGAACGGTTGGCATGTATACTACTGTCAAAATTTGTAAGAACTAAAATAAAACTTTATAGAAAACATAAACATAATCATCATTGCAAATTATCATATGCCCAGCCGGGCATAGCTTGTGGTGCCAAATGTGGAAGCTGCTAAAACAAGTCATTGCTAGACACAGTCAGCAGTTGTGATCTTAAACTAAATCAGTTGTAAGTCAATGACTACCTGTACCAGACAAATATCCAGCAAGCTTGAAACTGGAAGTTGTCTGGATTTATGGATTTTTCTGGTTTTCTGGATACAGGCTAAATATATAATTAATATATTAAGTAAAAAAAAAATAGTTTTGTTTACTTTCCATTGAACATATGTCAGCAGTCATACTGGAACTGGCATCATGTGACATGTTCACCACAGAAACCTAAACAAAGTAATCATATGGTGAAATATAGCTGTACCATAGCATTAGTCACTTTTTGGTATTTCTGGATTTCTGGAAGCCATATATTTGGTTGGTTTTCTATTAATAAATGAAATTGAGATGATAGGGAAAACTAACTAGACTACATTTATAACATTATAAGAACATATGTAATACTATAATTGTAACAGTTTTACGTGTATAAAACTATTAATATGTTGGTTAAAAATTTTTCTAATATATTTGCTGTAAAACTTTGTGGGATTGATGATAACCAAATTTTTAAACATAAGTAATCAATAAATTAGAGAATTTGAAATCAGGTTTTTCTATTCTGATGCATGTTTGAATTTATAATAGATTCTGCTATAATGGAATGAATACTTG